GTGTGCACACAAAGATGGAGAGAGACTACTCAAGATGGTTCACCACACCCATTGTGCTTTCGCCCACACCGAAGTTTCGAGAAAAAGAAACCCACACTTCTCGCCACCTCTGATCAATACAACAAGGATGTCACAGTCCTTCAATGAAATGAGATATCATTGTCGAACCGACATGTGTGTGTGTGTGCGTGCAAAACGAAACGGTCACCCTTCCCCGCCCCCCCCCCTCCCCCGCAAAAAAAATAAAATAAAATAAAAAAAATCCCGCATTATTCCTACACACTCCGGCTCCAAAATGGCAAAAGAAAAAGAAAAGGTATCAGCCAAAAATCACACGCCGGGAACAGAAAACAAGCTTGCAATAATTTGATCGTTATAGAAGCCATATGTCAAGACGCAACAGCTTCATCACCCTCATTGTTGTTGTCGTCAGCACCATCGCCATCGTCATCATCAGCAGCATGACCATGGTGACGATGATAATGATCCTGATCATGATGACGACAGCGATCATCTCGATGATCATGATGATCATGCGGAGGAGAAAGAGCAGGAGAACGAGAACAGATCTATCCCGTTCACACAAGGTTGCAATACTTTGATCCTCAGGGAAGCCATATGTTAAGATGGAACAGCTGCATCACCCTCATTACTGTTCTCCCCAGCATCATCGTCACCATCATCATCATCAGCATGACCATGGTGATGATGATGATGATGATGATGATGATCATGATGACGACAGCAATCATCTCCATGGTGATGATGATGACAACAGCAATCATCTCGATGATCATGATGATGATGTAGAGGAGGAGAAGCAGGAGAACGAGAACTGGTCTATCCCCTTCACATTTGTGGCCAGGTCATGATGATGATGATGATCATGATGATCATGATGACGAGAGCAATCATCTCCATGATCATGATGATGATGCGGTGGAGGAGGAGCAGGAGAACGAGAACAACTCTGTCCCGTCCACATTTGTAGTAGGGAACAGACACGTTCATCTTCTCTCTCTTTCTTTCAATGCTCTCTCTTTTCTACTTTTTCCCTACAAACTATAGTCGAAAATGATTCTCAATCTTCCGCAAGAACACTGAACTATACCCTGCAGGTGAGCAGAATCGATTGGATCTTCCGCTGGAACAACGAAATACACACTGCCCGCTCTCTGCAATCGACCACAAAATGTGGAAAACCGACCGCCAGACAAAGCACCCCAACAGCGGTGCCGCCCGTCCCCAAGAAAAAGAAAAAAAAAAAACTGTACCAGACTGCCAGTGTATATTTCGATATCCTGGCGAAAGATCCACACGAATTTGCTCATCCTATTGATGTAAGTCGCATGAGGACAGCCGCTGCACAGAAGCGCAAAAAAAAAAAAAAAAAAAAAAAAAAAAAAAAAAAAAAAAAAAAAAAAAAAAAAAAAAAAAAAAAAAAAGCGCAGTCGCGTGCCGGCACCCCGCCTGCCACGGGATCAAGAGATACAGAAAGAGGCACACACAGAGAGAGACGGACAGAAAAATAAGTAAATCATATAAAATATCAAATGTTATGTTGTTTTGATATTCGATCTCAATATCGTGATATGTATGTTTATCTATAACAAAAATAAAGATGTCCCGCCGCAAAGCAACGCCAGCAATAATCATCAACACACAACAGCCAACGCCATTGCTGTCATGAGGCTTCAATCCTTTGGTCTTCCTTCTTTCACATTTGCTGATACTGTCATACACTTTCAGTTCGGATCCAAGAACCACGGCAGACAGGCAACTTTTGCTATCAGTTCACAACACTGTGATTCATTTCCTTGCCTGCTTTTACTTTCTCTGTGTGCTTCCTTGCTCCTTCGTCCTTCTACCCCTGCCCCCCCCGCTTCAGCCGCAGCGTGGCTGCGGCGGGTCCACTTGTTCTTCTTCTTCCTTTATTCTTCTTCATCCTTTGTCTATTTCTCTTTCGGATTTCTTTCATTTCATTTGCGATTAAATGACATTTTATTTCCTTGTGTCATTGCATTTCGGAGTCATTCTAACATAAATTACCTTTGTAATGTTTATGGCTCAGGTACCCGTGCACGCAGCCATGCAACAGCGGATGATAGCTGTCAACCACCGGTTGGAAGAGATGAATTATGTTCTTCTCCGTGCCCAGTCAAGGTAAAACACTCTCTCAATCGCAAAATATCCCAGTTCCAGTCCGAGTATTCGTTCATGTCTTGATTTGCATTTCTTTGTCGGGTTGATTGAGCTATCCAGTGGATTCGCCCTCTTTTTTTTCCTATAAACGGGCCCACTGCCCGAGGCTTCGATTATAAGATGGAATACAAAGAGGATTCTGGGGCCATTACCTGGCTTTGGCTTCAAGAAACAATCCCACCAGACTGGAAAGCAGGTCTAACATCCCATATGAGCACAATTGAACTCTAAATTTGATACAACATAAAGATGAAACTAGGTCTAAAGTGGCAAGAACCCTCACACAAACACTGAGATAGAGCCCAGTGCTTGAGGTCCATGCCCCTTCCCAGCTGCCAATAAACTATGCAATGTCCTACCATCCTCCTCCTACCAAACCGAAATTGCCCATAGTTTTCATTGGGCCCGAGCAGTTTTTGTCAGACTCATGGGTTTTAGCCTTTAGGAGCATCTCCACAGACACTCATAGTTGGATAAAGAACCAGACTTTCGTTTGGCATATTTTGGGGGTCGCCTCCTATCTAGGGAAAGTGTCAACTTCCTCCCCACACCTCCTTGATCATTAGACACCATCAAGGAACTCAATCCTTCTACTCATACGCCAGTCAGATTGAGGTCATTCATTGTACGGTACCTCCCTCCTATGCGCATACTGCGTGACACACAGTCCCAACCCCCAAATTCCCAAGTATGCAAGTACGCGCATACCTCACGAATCAAGCGCATACCTGTCCCATCCCCAAATTCCCAAGTACGCAATTACGCTCATACTGCACGGATACCAGCCCCATGCCACAATTCCCAAGTACGCTAGCCGGTGCTCTCCGAAGATCACTTGTCATAGTTCCCCCTCCCTGGGAACTTCCTGCAGGTCAGGATTTTTTTTTTTTTTTTTTTTTTTTAAACAGGGCCTTGTGGTCCTGGCTCCTTCCATTCTGGGGAGCGTCAGTCCGGTTCCTATTCCACCGGCAAGTCAAAATAAGCATTACATCAATAACACTCACATACGCTTCCTTCCGTCCGGCCGAAGGATCCCTGGGCAGCATTGATTGCTCCACCATTTCTGACAGAAAACCATTTAAAAAAAGAATAAAACTTAAAAAAAAAAACAAAAAAAAACGAAAAGAAGCCTCCCTACTGCAAGACTCTTGTCTTCATTCATCCAGAACCCGCACTGTCCGGTGGTCCAAGCCTTGGTCATCCTTGCCCTGCTTCAAGCATTATCCTCTTTCTTTCCCGAACAGAGCCCTTTGGAGGCCAGGTCACCACCTTCCGCTCCAACCTTGGCAAACTTTGCCTAACCTAAGCCTATGGTTGTTAGGGCTGCACAAGTGTCATCTCTTGCCAACTAAATTTATCAATGAAATCCCCAGGATATGGGAATATTGGGGAACTTGAGGCTCATGAAGTGTTACCTGGTAACATTCGGTTTTTCACGGGGGGGAACCCTTGATATTCCTTTGTTGAATGGAATTGGAACTGTAACATGCACCTGTTACTGCCATGATGAACCTTTTGCAGGCGTGGAGGAAACAGTGTTTGACGCACACAAAGGCAGTACTGGAATGCTGACATTCTTTCTGTTTCATCCCTTTTCTCATCGTGCTCAGTGTTGCAGGATTGCGAGAACACCTAACCGTGCAGCGCACAGAGGTATGCAATTGTTCCTTTCCAAAGTGCCTTTTCTTTCCAGAATCCTCACAACCTCAGTGCCGCATTTTTTTCCAGTTTGAGGAAAAGCACCCTAGCTCACCTTTCCGAGTGGTAAGGAACTACATATCAAACCCATGTATGCAATTGTTCCTTTCCAAGGGCCTTTTCTTTCCACAATCCTCACAACCTCAGCACCATGGGTTTTTCTTGTTTGAGAAGAAGCACCCTAGCTCGGCTTTCCGAGTGGTAAACAACTGTATATCAAACCCACGGGCTAACTCACACTGCCTACAATGATGGCCAGAGGCCCCACATCATGATTACTCGCCCTTGACTTCACGTCCTCTTGCCCTGTTTCTGAACCCACTCCCTCCACCCAATCTCATTTCCAATCTCGATCAACACACACACACACACACACACACACACACACAGAAGGGTGTGTGGGC